GGGAGGGGAGGGGGAGGGGAGGGGGGAGGGGGGAAACCCCCAGGAGAGGGCCGGAAGGGGAACGAAGCGGCAGAGGGGAGGGAAAGGAAAGCTTTCCTCGGGCTCTGCCCGGACTCTCGCTTCCACTGGCATCTGCCCGGGCTGCACGGAGGTGCCAGGCGCAGAACTGTCTGGCCCGGGCACACTTTGGCCGGGAGTCTGGGCTTTCTAGTCTCAGTGCGCAGGGGCCGGAGTGATGCCTGCCGTTTCTCTGTAGGCAAATTCAGCTCCGTCCGGTCCGGCCCCTGCCCCCTCGCCTGCCCCTCCCAAGCTGCTCGGTCTGCCGCCTGACCAGCTGGCCTCCGGGACGAGGGGAGTCCTGCCCAGGGTGTGCCCTCTCCCACAACACTCCTGTGGTGCCCATGGCCCGGGCCCGGGGCCCCCTCCTCCCCAGTCCTTAGCACCACCTTCATTGCCCCGCTCCTGCCCTCCTGTGACCCAGGACCCAACCTGCTGGCGGGGGCCCCTCGCAAAGGCTACCTCATGGCCCGGCCTGGGTTTGCCCTGCCGGAGCTTTCAGAGTTCCTCTGGTCCCCTGCCGGGCTCCCCTCGGTCCGGTGCCGTTGGCGGTGGGGTGGGAGGTGCGGGCACCAGACCATCCCCAGGGCTGGTGACGGAGCCACAGTACAGCTGGACCTCCCCTCTCTGAGCCCCACCCATGGGTGCTTTCTGGGGCCCCTTGAATGGAAGGTTAATAACCTCAGCAGAGGGTGCATTCTGGGAGGACGGCTCCCTGGAGAAATCTGAGTGACACGATGAAGTCCTGGGAAGGCAAGCATTTAAGGTCGGAGTGGAAAGTGCAGGAGGAGGGGTGCTCTAGGTGCCCGAGACTCTGAGTTAGCCGGCGAGGCGCCGTCCCCTGGCGGCCGCGAGCGGCACACGCCGACGGGAGCGCCGAGGCCGCTCGAGGGGGCGTCTGCCCTCAGCCCTCAGCCCTCAGCCCTTCCGTTTAGCCTCCGGGGCAGAGCAGGGCGAGGCTCCCCGCGGGCCCGACGGGGTGGGCCCAGGCTGGGCGGAGCCTCCCCACCACGCCCCCAGCCCCACCCCGTGCGGAGGTCGTCTTCCTACAGGTCACGCTAAGCTTCCCAGCCTTGTCAGTCCGTCCATCCCGCTTTTGCCGAGGAAGACTGTCCTGGAACAGCCCGCCGGGCTTCATTGTAATATTGAAGGAAAGTCCACCTCCTCTAATAGCTGGCCTCCTCCTGAGGGCTAGAGGGGACGCCAGGCTGAGGGTCCCCAGCCCCCGTCCCTCCCCCCGGACCACGCCCTTTGCCCCCCCCCCCACCCCCCCCCCCCCTCCTGCCCTCCCCCCCCCTCCCCCCCCCCCCCCCCCCCCCAGGGTCAGGACTTGGGACACTGATAGCACCCCAGGCCTGGGCTGGGGGTGGGCAGGAGAGGGGCTCAGAGGGTGGGTTCCAGTGGCTCTCACCCTACTGAACCCAGGGGCGTCTGGCTCCCTCCTCACATTAATGCCTGGGGTGGGGCTGGGGGCAGGGAGGCAGCTCTTGGCCAGTTCTGCCCAGAGGAGTGAGCAGAGTCTTGCCATCCTGAGGGTGTCACAGACACCGGTTCACCCGCCACTCCGTTCCAGTTCCCCACAGCTTCTGCTGCACTGGGCCTGACACCCTCATAGCCTGGGGTCTGGAGCCGGTGTGGGTCAGACCCCGCAACCCCGGGCTCCCAGTGACCCCCGCCTTTCCTGCAGGTCCTTGTAATTTGCGTCCCTTCCCCCAGGATCACCAAGAGCGCCTGTCAGAGAAGGGGATGGAGGAGCTCCCGGCTCCAGGCCAGTCCTGACAGGACCACAGCGTCGGGCACCCTGAGGCTCTCCTTGCCGAGCCCCCTGCTGGGGAGCAGACCTCCCAGCTCCCCTCACTTGCTGGCGCCCAAGCTCCCCTGGGAAGGTGGCCTCGCTCTCCCTCCAGTGGTGTCTCAGATTTGTGACTCGGTTTCCTCAGTGGTCTACTTGTCCTCAGGCCCCAGCCCTCCTCCCCCCGGGGCCTGGTGAGAGCTGTGGTCCCTGTGGGAGGGACGCTGTGGTCCCCAGGAGGGTAGACAGGCCAGGGAAGGACAGGGATGACCCGGGCCACAGGAGGGCAAGCCCCCAGCCGTGCCTCCACCCATGAGGATCCTCCTGTCCACGGAAACTTAATCAATAGTCATTCTAAGGAAAGAGAATTTCAGTGGCGCCAACCTGAGGATTATAAACCGGGAGACAGCCTTTCAGAAAACCCTGAGGACTCTTCCACCTGCTAAAGGTCAAAGCAAGGTTACATGTTTCTGAGACAAAGGGTTATACGCCAGATGGTGTATTATTGACAGTTTACACAGTCCAGATCTACATGTACAAAGCGAGTAGTGGGCCATGGTGTTACAGCAGGCAGGTGGCTAGATACGCGCAGAGGAGGCGGGGCACGGGCCAGATGGCAGGAAACCGTACAGCTTGTAGACAACGGTGGCCCTTGGACAGACAGAGAAAGGAACCTCTGGACTGACAGGAAACCACACATTTTGGGGTGACAAGTGCCCTGGAGACAGACAAAGAAAGATGAGAAGAGGCTGGAATCTCCAGAGTCCAAAAGTAACCTTTTGCTCATTATACTCTGATTACAATAAAATTAGCCTCACAGATAGGAAATACCCATCGGGCACGGAAGCCATGACACAACGATCAAGGCTAAATAAAGGAAAAATGCCTCCGCCTCTTGGGAAGGTGGAGCTGGGAAGAAAATCAGGGAATACGACCCCAAACCCCTCCCTCCCCAATGAATATTCCGCCCCTTCACTTCTACACCCCACATGACCAACTTGCCAAAGAAACTCGGCACAGCTACTCACGTGAGTCTGCCGGGTCCCGCAATGAGAGTGCGCTGTCGCTTCGTAAATCCTCACTTTACTTTCTTGACCTCTGTGTCTCCTCTCTGAAATCTTTCTGTGAGTGTGAGTGAGACCTGTAACGTGTATTCACCATAGAAAGTGCAAAAGGGAAGGGACTGTACAGATACAGTTACAGTTCCTGATCAATTGACTTTCCGTGACTCAGAAGGGAGCTGTCTTTGGTGGCCTCAAGGGTCCTCTGAAGTCCCCCCAGCAGCACAGGCTCTCTGCTGGTGTGGAGCTGCCAGGAAATGAACTCTGCTGCTTTTTAAACTCATCACTCTGTTTGTGAGATTCCTATGTTGCTGAGTGTAGCAGTAGAGGATTCTTTTTCATTTCCATGTAGTATTCTATTGTGTGCCCATGCCAGCATTTACGTATTTATTCTGCCCTTAATGGGCGTTAAGGTTGTTGACAGGTTTGATGCTCATGAATGATACAGCTCTAAACATTTGTGGGCATTTATCTTGGTGATTTTTTTTCTCTTGAGAATGTACCTGGGAGTGGAAATGCTGGGTCACAGGGTATGTGTATGTTTAATGTCGACTGAAAAAAAAAAAAAGCACCACCTAAAAGTTGAGAATCATGTTTTATTTGGCGGCCTTTCTGAGAACTTCAAGCCTGGGAGGCAGCCTCTCAGAAGAGCTCTGAGTTTCTGCTCCGAAGAGGTCAGGGAGCAGTGAGGATACACAGAAGTTTTGCAACAAAGACCAGGTAGTCGGAGCATCAAAAGACTATGGGAGTTTTGGGTTTGTTTGTTTTGTTCTAAGGGCCGATTTTATTTATTTATTTATTTTTGGCCACACCGCACAGCATGCAGGATCTTAATTCCCTGACCAGGGATCAAACCCATGCCCCCTACAGTGGAAGCCAGACTCCTAACCACTGGGCCACCAGGGAATTCCCAAAAGATTACTGTCAATTAAAGAAAACCAGACATCTCAAGTTGAGGAACGTAGCGCTTTTCTGTGAATGGGAAGATATAAGAGCCTGGGCTCACTGAAATCATTCCTTTGACAGGCATCTCAGCTTCTCCGGCCAGTATCCCGTTCTTTTCCATCATGAGTCCCCTCGGGTTGCACAAGTGCGGCAGCTGTGGCAGCTGAGGGCTTGGCAGAGGGCATCCGCCTCGTCTCCATCCTGCGTTCCTTCAGGGCTCACCTTCCGGGGGTGGGGGGCCGGTGGTGGTCGATGGCTGCGACATCCTTTGGCTGCTGACATGGCAGCAGGAGGCTTAGCAGACTGTGCCAGTTTATACTGAGGCCGGTAAAGTGTAAGCTCTCCAGCTGTCCACATCCTGCACAGCTCTTGGTATTTTCAGTACTTGTAATACTAGCCATTCTTGTTTGGATTTCTTCCTCTCCAACTGTCATATATTTTGTTTTCCTAGATCAACTGCACGATTGAGCATATGACATATTGGTAAGTGTTCTACATGCACTTAAATACGGATTCACTTGTTTGGTATGATGTTCCATATATGTCCATTATGTTAATTTTTTGCAATCTTGTGCAGATTCACGTATGCTAAGTGACATTCTTGTTTGCTTGTTCTATTGTTAGGGAACCATTGACCGAAACTGCCCGCCTTGGCCAGGTATGATGATAACTACTTGCACGAGCTGTCACACAAAAGGAGGCCCCAATAAGGAACAGGACGCTGCGCAGAAAACTCACCAGGAGAATTTGGGAGGGGCCGAAAGGAGGGAGGAGACGCCAGCCCGTAAAACGTCCTGCCAACCTCCCAGAAACCCTCCGACTGGAATCCATCTTAACTCAGAGATGCATGCCCCACCGGGAAGGGCCCTGAGTCAGACCAAATGTGGGCACAAGTAGGATAATTGGCCAGAGACAACCCAGAAAGTAACCCCATCACCATAAAACCCGAGACTGCGAGCCACGCGGCAGAGCAGTCCTCCTGGGGTCCCTTACCCTCCTCCTCTCCGCCTGGGCGCCCCTTCCCAATAAAGTCTCTTGCTCTGTCAGCACGTGTGTCTCCTCGGACAGTCCATTTCTGAGCATTAGACAAGAGCACGCTCTCGGGCCCTGGGAGGGGTCCCCTTCCTGCAACACTATCAGTTACTTAAAGGATTTATGGTAAAATATTTGTGTCACTGTCAATTTGCCTCAACTTTCACTTCTGCCGTATCTTGCTTAAACATTTTGAAGCTGTTACTAGTTGTATAGAGGTAGGATTGACATATCTTTGTGTTATGTTGACTTTTTATCACTATGAAATATCTTTTAGTAATATTTCTTGCCTTAAAGTACCCTTTATATGGCATCAATAGGGTGAACGAGATTTCTTTGGATTACTGTCGGCAGGATGTTTTTCCCACCCTTTTTCTTTTCAGCTATTCTGTGTCCTGATTTTTAAAGTCAGAGTTGTAACCAGTTTAGTGTTATTTTGTATCCAGTCTAAAAAATTTTGCTTTTACTTTGGAATGTTAAGTCCATTTACTTAACATTTACTTAACATAGAACTAACATAGTTGGGTTAATGTAGTGCAGCCCTGACACTTGGTTTCTTTTTTTTTAATAAATTTATTTTATTTATTTATTTTTGGCCGCGTTGGGTCTTCATTGCTGCGCGTGGGCTTTCTCTAGTTGCGGCGAGCAGGGGCTACTCTTCGTTGAGGTGCGCGGGCTTCTCATCGCCGTGGCTTCTCTTGTGGCGGAGCACGGGCTCTAGGCACGCGGGCTTCAGTAGTTGTGGCACATGGGCTCAGTAGTTGTGGCTCGTGGGCTCCAGAGCACAGGCTCAGTAGTCGTGGTGCGCGGGCTTAGTTGCTCTGTGGCATGTGGGATCTTCCCCGCCCAGGGCTCGAACCCGTGTACCCTGCATCGGCAGGCGGATTCTTAACGACTGCACCACCAGGGAAGTCCCGGTTTCTCTTTTTCTAATGCAAGGGCCTGACCTCAGCTTTGCTTGCCAGGCATCCACTCCCAAATGACTCTCTAGATTAAACACATTGCCAGCCACAGGACTAGGTAGGAGCCAGACACGCCCACCCCCAGGCTCCTTTGTTTTAGAGCTCTTAGTTGGTTTCTATAACTCACCATCCTGGGCTCTAGTTTCTCCTCTACCCATGCTTTAAATCCCCACTCTTCTGTTTTAAAGTCACTAATAAAGAGTGAGCCCACCAAACCCTAGGTCCCCACCCTCGACCCCATAAAAACAGAACCCCAGGCCAGTGCTAGCACACTGTCCCCAAGACCTCACATTGCGCCTCCAGGTATGCCTCAGGGTCTGTGATCAGCTCGGGCACAATTCTCTGATTGGCTGACGATGAGGTAAGAGGGTAGTTAACATGATCAATCCCGAGGTGCCTGTAGGTCTGGGGCTCACGATCATCAAGTAGGTTATTTCTTCCATTTGGTGGTGGTTTTAGCATCCATAAAACAGCTCAGGAAATGTGCATCAGACACTGTTATCTGGGTACTTCAGAGACGAGCTACAGCAGAGGATATGGGGGGAGGGTCTGTCCCAGGAAGACCCCAGAGGGTCCTGCTCAGTTACACGGACTTATCACTCCTGCTTCTCTGCCCTTCTTCCTAGAGTTCCATGTTCCCATTTGTAATCATTTCGCTTTACCTTGAAGAGTTTCCTGTTTTATTTCCTGTGGTTTGAGTCTGCTGGCAATGAATTATTGCAACTTGTGTGTAAACTAAACTCTTATGTTTTCTGTGTCTCTGAATAATATTTTTGGTTGGCATAGAATTCCGGGTTGCCAGACTTTGTCATTCATCGCTTTCAAGATACAGTTTCATTTTCTTCTGGCTTTTTTGTGAAAAGTCAGCTTTAGCTCTTAATTGTTGTTGCTTTGTAGACACTGTGTCTCTTTCCCCTGGCTGCTAAGGGTATTGTTTTCTGGTTTTCAGCATTTGGATTGCAGTGTCGCTAGCTGGGACGACATGCTTTGCATTTATCCTGCTTAGAGTTTTCTGTGATCCATGGATCTGCGAATCATCTTTCATGGATTTTGAACAATGTTATCTCTTCAAGTATTTATTTATTCCCTCTTTCTTCCCTGTGGTACTCCAATCTCATGTAAAGTTAGACCATTTGACTGAGTCTCACAGGCCCTTATGCTCCGAATAATTTTTTTTCTACTGTTTTTATTCTCTCTAAGCTTCCCTTGGGCTATTTTATATTGTCCTGTCTCTACCTACGTTCATATCGTCTTCTGCTCCTCGTTCATCCAAACGAGTTCTTAATTTCAGGTGTTTTGTCTTTTAATTCCAGGATGCGACGGTTAGTTGTATGTGTTAACTCGGCTGGGCCACAGGACTCCGATATGTGGTCAGACACCATTCTGGATGTTTCTGTGAGGATGCTTTTGCATGAGCTTGCCATTTAAATTGGTGACATTTGAGTGAGGCCGACTGCTCTCCATAACCTGGGTGGGTCTCACCTCATCAGCCGAAGGCCTGAATAGAACAAAAGACTGAGCTCCTCCAAGCAAGAGGGAATTCTGCAGCAAACAGTCTCTGGACTTTAACTGCAGCACCAGCTCTCCGGCCTTCTGGCTCTAAGGAAACAGAATTTGCCACCCTAAGATACGTCTCTCTGTCACATGCATTGTTTTCAGCTGGTTATTTTCTGAGAAAGAGCAGACATGGGAAGGGTTCTGACAACCAAGTAGGAGTTGACCTTCTGTACGAAGCATTTACATTTATAAGGGAGATCTCCATTTGGGATGACCAAATCTCTAGAAACTCTTATCACTGGTGAAGGCGATGCCTTAAATCCGCGTCACAATCCTGCTCACCTGCCGCAACTGACTCTCCCCACCTTCAACAACCTGTTTTGTCTTTAGCTGAGGATGGCATTTAAGGTGAGGGCTGTGGCCCCTTTGGTGAGTTACTCAGTTTTCCTGGGTCTCTCCCATGTAGACATGTTGTTAAACTTCTGCGAGATTCTCTCCTGTTAATCTGTCTCATGTCAGTGTCACCCTTAGACCAGCCAGAAGGGTACAGGAAGACTTCTCCGCCCCCCGCCCCACCCCCCACAGCCCATCCTGAAGATTTTGGCCCTGCAGCCACTTCCTTAAAACAAATCTCTTTTTGTTTCTATACACATTCTATTGGTTCTGCTTCTCTGGCGAATCCTCGCCCATACAGAGAATATTTATTTGATTTGTTTCATAAAGTCCTATTCTCTGTCAAAACTCTCAGTTTTAAAGTCTATTATTGAACATACTTGTCACCGTTATTTTAAAGTCCTTTTCTGTTAACTCCATTATCTGGATCGTCCGCTGGTCCGTGTGTACGGCTTTTCTCCCCTGTTGCTATCAGTCACCTTGGGGCCTTGTATAAATAAGAGCCAGAGGCCACGCGTACCTCTAGTAGCGGGTCCCTCGGTTCCTCTTTTACCAGATCAAAGTGCATGAGGTATTCACCAGGTCAACTCCATCACAAGTTGAGCTGGGTTGGGCTGGACCGCAGCTTTGGGAAACTCATACACCCTCCTGTCCCTCTCCTCCCAGGCTTCCGGTGGAGACTCGGGCAGGCGTGTCTCCTGGCCCTGGAAAGCGCGGCAGATGCCCTCCATGTCTTTGCACCCTGCTTTGAAGCCTCCCACTCCCAACTCCTGCGGCCGCTTTAGACTCTGGCAAGTCTCTTCAGAGCAAGGTCAAATGTGTGTTTGGAGCAGGCCTCTCTCCTCGGGTGGGCACTTGGCTCCTCAGGGCCGTGGGACTGCCGCGGACGTCACTCTTCCTTATACACGCCCCGCCCTGGGTACCGCCGCCTGCATCTGGGACTCAGCGCGCATTCTGGTTTTTCGTAGGTTTCGCTTTCCCGGAGCTGAGCGTGCTCGCCCCTCCTCCCTGGGTTGTGGATACAGTCCCGCTGGTGGTTGGCAAATCCCCAGGAAGAAAAGACAGGTCAGGCTGGCAGCGTCGGCTCAGCTCGGGGGACTTCCCCACCTCAGGAAGCCAGTCCACTTGGTCCTTGTCCCTCTCAGCTCCCCAACACGTTTACTTACGGCACCTGCAACCTGCCTGTTTTTTTCTTCTTGGTCCAGTGGGAGCATGTGACCGCCAGTCTGCTTCAACCTCGCAAATCCCGGACGCCCTCTGATGGCTACTGAATTTTATATGCTTACTTTGCATCCTGACTCGTTACTGATTGTTTTCCAAATATGTTACTTTTATTCTTTATTCTCTAGGATTTCCAGGTATACTGCCGTATCATCTACAAATGATACATACGGTTTTACTTCTTTTTCCATTCTAAAGCCTGTAATTGTTTATTGTTTTCTAACTGTATCAGTGAATACTTCTGACTGAATTTCAAATAGTGATGGGAATGCTTTTCTTTTAATGGGTATTTTTTTTCTAATGTAAGATGATAACTTTTTTTTAAAAAAATACATGGTAAAGGGCTTCCCTGGTGGCACAGTGGTTGAGAATCCGCCTGCCAATGCAGGGGACACGGGTTCGAGCCCTGGTCCGGGAAGATCCCACATGCTGCGGAGCAACCAAGCCCGTGTGCCGCAACTACTGAGCCTATGCTCTAGAGCCCGCAAGCCAGAGCTACTGGGCCCGCGAGCCACAACTACTGAGACTGCGTGCTGCAACTACTGAAGCCCATGTGCCTGGAGCCCGTGCTCCACAACAAGAAAAGCCACCACAATGAGAAGCCCACGCACTGCAACAAAGAGTAGCCCCCGCTCGCTCGCCACAATTAGAGAAAGCCCGTGAGCAGCGATGAAGACGCAACACAGCCAAAAATAAATAAATAAAAATTTTTTTTTTTTTAAAGTTACATTTTGTTTATTTATTTATTTATTTTTGGCTGAGTTGGGTCTTCGTTGCTGTGCGGGGGCTTCCTCTAGTTGCAGCGAGCGGGGGCTACTCTTCGTTGCGGTGCACGGGCTTCTCATTACGGTGGCTTCTCTTGTTGCAGAGCATGGGCTCTAGGTGCGCGGGCTTCCGTAGTTGTGGCACGCGGGCTCTAGAGCACAGGCTCAGTAGTTGTGGTGCGCGGGCTTAGTTGCTCCGCGGCATGTGGGATCTTCCCGGACCAGGGCTCGAACCCGTGTCCCCTGCATTGGCAGGCAGATTCTCAACCCCTGTGCCAGCAGGGAAACCCTGTGTCGTTTGCATTTTCTACTAGTGTAGTCTTAGCGCTCACCATTCTAGGTCGTTTTTCCAGGAACAGGTGAGCCCTTTTAGTTCGGGTTTAGGTCGCTTTGTCCTCTTGTTTGCCTGCCTCCCTGCTTCAGTGCCTCTGCTACAGCTTCCGACTTAATAATCTCAAATGCCTGCTCCCTTGGAACTTTGTGAGACTTTATTTCTAAGCTGGTCTTTACGTTTTCCTCCATTTGTTTCCTCACTTTCATCGTTTTTCATCTCATGTCTTCTTTTTATTGCCTACTGTTGTTTTGAGGTTCTGAACTTCTGATGCAAGGTGTTCCTTCATATTTTCAAATGTTTTGACTCAGGCATGAGAGATTTATTCTGCTTCCTGGTTCGTTTTCTGGGACATTTTTCAAGAGAAAAGTTTTATTCTCGTTTTAATTCTTCTCCGTGCAGTGTCTTCCCACAGATGAGCGCGCAGTAGGACGCGGCCTCTTGGCGCGAGGCCGCCCTCTTCCGGCTGCGCGATGAAGTGCAGCTGTTCTTGCGTCCGTTGTCTGGTGGTGGGAGCGGTGGGTGCCTGTCGACATCAGGAGTCTCCCTGGTTGCTGCCGCACTTAATTTCCCCTTCTTCTTTCCTTCTTTCCATTGGCCACCAAGCCTGCAGGGGTTTCGCCCCTCCTACTGGTCTGCTCCCCAAGAACGGATGCATCTCCCACTGCTCCTGCATCCCTGCATCTTCTCAAGCCAGGCCGCTGGCCAGCAGCTCTCAGCCTGGCTCCCAGCATCCCCTCGAGGGGAGCTGGACCTTCTCTTTCTGAGGATGGCTTTTGTCCAGCCCATCACTCTCAGACCCTTGGTTCCTTTCTCCCGTTTCCATCCGCTCTCTCCAGCGATACCCACGCTGCACAGCAGGTGCCCCAGGTCCAAAGACGGCTCTGCCAGAAGTTTGTGTTCGTTTTTCTACATGAAAGTAAATGACATCTGTGGTCCCTCCATCTCCTATGCGTGCTGAAGTCACGAGGAGCGTGGCGTCTTGTTCCCTTGCTCTGTTGATCTGAATCCTTTTCTTGCTAGAAAGAGTAAATAGAGTTGGATGTAGGCAGCTGAAATGATCCTAGGGCCAGAATTCAGTGGGGTTTTTAAAACTTAAGATTCCAAATTTATTATTGCAAATTTATAGAAATACAATTGGTTCTTATCTTATAGCCAATGACCCTTCTAAATTCATGGATTAATTCCAATATTTGCTCTGTACATTATGTTCGAAACTCAAAATCCCATGATGTCCAAATGATAAGAAGTTGATTTCTCATCTTTTAAAAAAATCTTTATTTATTTCTATTTTTGGCCGCGTCGGGTCTTAGTTGCGTGGGATCTTTGCTGCGGCATGCAGGATCTTTTCATTGGGGCACACAGGCTTCTCTTTAGTTGTGGCTTGCGTGCTCTGTAGTTGCACACGCGGGCTTAGTTGCCCTGCGGCATGTGGGATCTTAGTTCCCCGACCAGAAATCGAATCCACGCACCCTGCATTGGAAGGCGGATTCTTAGCCACTGGACCACCAGGAAGTCCCTGATCTCTCATCTAAAATGATGATCCCCTTGTTTCTCTATCCAGGACAGAGTGAGTAGAAGGGGTGATAACAAGGGGGGAAGTGTTCAAGAGTTCACCATAAAGATGATGCAAGTTAGAGCTGGTTTTATAATGACCTTTATCAGATTAGAAAGATCCCCTCTATTCTTAGTTTGCTGAGAGAGTTGTAATCACAAATTGCGTTGAAGTTAACAAATAATTTTCTGTATATATTGGATTATATAGTATGTTTTCCTTTTTGTGGGCCATTGGTGAGTTTCCAATATTACGTTTAGGACATGTTTCATTAATTTTCACGGGATATTGCTCTGGAATGTCCATTTTTTGTAATACCTTATGCATTTTTGTTAAGAACTCAAGACTATGCTAACTTCTTAAAATTAATTAGGAAGTGTTCATTTCTTTCCTCTGAAAGAAGCTTGGAAGATTGATATTGTCTTTTCTTTGAATGTTTGGAAGAATTAACCAGTGAGAGCATCTGAATCTAGAACTTTCATTTGCAGAAAGTTTCTTTTAAATCAGCTTTTTGAGGTATTATTTGTAAAAAGTAAAATTTATGAATATTAAGTATAGTTTCATGAGTTTTGAAAAACTGTTTTGGCCGTTTTAACTGCTTTGCATTTTCATATAAGTTTTTGAGTGACCTTATTAACCTGTCACAAATGCCACCGGGTCGTTTCATCACACCCACATCCAACAGCACCATGCGATTTGGGGGTTTCGAATTTTTCACAGATTCACATTCAACTCCATTACGGCATGAAATGACAAATGAATAAACACACGACGTAAGCCCAGATCCTCCCCCCAGGCATCTCCAGTTCCACCCCTTCTGTGCCCACCTCCAAGCCGGGCCCATGCCCGGGCAGAGGCTGGACAGCAGGGAGGGCTGGAGTGGCACCCAATAAAGGGAGGCTCTGGGTGCACCAGCAGCAAGGCGGAGGCTGCACCTGGCCAGGCATGGTCCCTAGGACGTGCCAGGCAAGAGGGGGCGGGGGACAGTCCTGCTGGTTGGGCCACTGGGTGGACTGGAAGGGAAATGACCCCAACCAGCTGCACACCCTCATTCATAGCCAGCACATCCTCTCCCTGTGGCAACGGGAAGCTGGGCCTGCAGGGGGTGCCGAGGCCTCCAGAGGCCCGGTGGCTGCGAGTGGAGGTGACCGGCAGCAGTCACTCGGGGGCCAGAGGCAGCCCGTCCAATCCCCCTTTGCCTACTAGTCGCCCCTTTTATCCTTCGGCCCACTCTCCTCCTGCGAGACCCCTGGGGGCAGGGTCACCCACTGCAAATCCAGATCCAGGGCCCACACCCTGCCTTCTCCTCAGAGGAGCTCAAACGGGTGTGGTCGAGGAAATAAAGGCAGGAAGGAAAAACAAAGAAAGAACCTGGGGAAAGATGCTGGCAGGACATGGCGTGACAAACTGTGAAGCCACCTGACACGCAGGTGCGGGCACCTGGGCATGGGCGCTGCCTTTAGGGGGCAGCCTTGGGAGGCAGGGGTCCCTGGGGGTCAGAAAAGAGGGCAGCCTTTCCTGCCCACACCTGGACTCACGCAGGGCCCTTAGACCTGCCCGGTCTCCAGGTGAGGTTGTGGCTGGGGTGATGGTGCCTCCAGAGGGGACGGGGTCCCACTCCGGACCACCGCCCCTGCCCTCAGTGGACTCTGCTGCTTCATCTGTGCCGTGTTGTTTGGTGACAAAGATTCTTTGCTTGGCCAAACTTTAGTCAGGCTCCCAAACCTTCTCCTGGGCCCATCTGGGCACTTCCTTGTAAAATCCGGTTTTAATAAGAACCTCCCCCAACTCAGTATCCGATGGGGTTCCATCCCCTCCCACCCCCAGGGGAGGACTGAGCACCTGCCCTGCCTTCGGGGAGATCCTGGTAGGTTTGTTTAGCCAGAATCCCCCTACCCCTGAGGTCTCCTCTTAGTGTTTTTCCATCCATTGACCACACCTGCTCCTTGGCTGTAAATCCCCACTGCCTCTGCTGTATTTGGAGTTGCCCCCAGTCTCTCCCTGCACAACCCCGTCACAGCGGTCCCTGCGCCGGTCTCCAGAGCCCCGCTGAGATTATTCAGTCTCACTGAGCTTTACGAGCGTCATGGAAGTTTCTTTCTTTAACACTGGTTCTGGTGAGGACAGGTTCCTGGGAACCTCCTCCCCTCCTCCCCCCCCCCTCCTCCCCCCCCCCCCCCCCCCCCTCCCCCCCCCCTCCCCCCCTCCCCTTTCTCCCCTTTCCCCTCCCTCCCCCACTTGCCCTTAACTGCCCTGTTTCCTGCCCTGGGCCTGGCTCTTGATGCTTTCCCTCTGGACGGCCCTGCACTTCATCTCCGATTGCCCAACCGGCCTCCTGTTCTCCAGCCCCAATGATCCCTCCTCCCCCTTGAAGCCTTCCTCCTCCTCCAACACCAGACCACTTGCCACCACACCTGCGGGAAGTTTCAGCTCTCCTGAGCCTCCGAGGCAGGGACTCAGTGTGGTCCTGTGTCCCCAAGGTGTGAACCGGGCCCTGTTCCGCAGGGGGTTGTTACAGGAAGAGAAGGATGCAGCAGAGCTGGCGCGGGGTGGAGACTGGCGGAGGGGATGCACCCACCGGGGAGACGCGCTCCCTGCCCGCCTGGCGGAGGGGATGCACCCACAGGGGAGACGCGCTCCCTGCCCGCCTTCTGCTCCAGCACGAAGCGGCCATCCTCACGGACCTCAGGAGACCCTCCCAAGAGCCCGAG